CTCGGGACCTCCTGAAGGAGTGCTAACACAAAGTTTCTGGTCCTCTTCTGCACAGGACAGCTCTCTCCCTCCCTTCCTTTTCCTATGGAGCTTTCTCATCATCTGTCCTCCTCTAAGAGAACATTATAAGAGGACACATAGGGTCCACACATACTACAGCACGTTACAATCTGGCTCCTCACCCACTGTGTGTTCCCACAAGATCTTAACTCTGCAAGCATTCAGACTGGCAGCAAGTAGTGGTCAAATTGGGATATTTGTGTGGCCCAGAAGAGGCACATCCCAGGGAGATGTGTATGTGTGTGTGTGTGTGTGTGAGAGAGAGAGAGGGGGGGGGGATAGAGAGAGACAGAGACATTGAAAGAGACAGAAAGAGTCATCAAAGAATGAGACTGGGGGAAAGGCAAGTCTGAACAGGTGACAACTGGGCAATGGGCTAGTGCTACAACAGAACAGACAGACAAGGAGGCGGCTTCGAGGATGTAGCTATTTGAGAAACAGCTAAGTTTGGAGATGAGGTCAGTGTGTGGAGCAGGAGCTGAGGTCATAGGTTGGCCAGCACCAAATGGGTCTCAACCTGCATGGTCTGGAACTCCCCACCATACTATATGTTCTACTGTCTGTCTGTGTGCCCACCACCCTGTCTCTCCCTGTGGATCCAAGCACTCAGCTTATCAAAGAACGGAATGTTTAATTGAACTTCAGTGAATTTACATTTAAGTCCTCCCCAGCAGCTACTGTGTCAGTCCATGCAGTAAGCAGAGGAGTGGGGGGGTGCTTGATATTTTTGATGGGAGAGTTGGACAGTGTAGTTAAAAACAGGTCCGTGGCAGCTGTGCACATAGGAGAAGTTGCTGACCTAGACCTATCTCCATCCCTGCTAGAGGCAGGAGGAAGGCTCTCTTTTAAGTGGATGTGGCTATGTTATCCATCATGTCATCTGTCATCTTCAGGGAGATGGAGACAACAGCATCAATACTGTAGTTCTCTAGACCTATTTGTTCATGCTGTGCTGAACAGTGCTTGGCTGGTGGACCTCCTCCAAGGAGCCTCAGGTCTGCTTTGCCTCCTAGATCCAACCCCTATTATATGTCCCAGAAGGCTAGGAGTAGGCAGGCTGAGTAGAAAGCCTTCTTTACAAATCCCTGGCCTACAGTAGGCAGCAGGGATCTCAGTAGGGTACCCTTGCCAAGCAGGCAGTGGGTCTTCTCTGGAGCTGATGGCAGAGGTTCCCAATGACTGAGCAAGACTTTCATTAGCAGCAGCTCCACCCACCTTCTGCAGGATCAATTATTGATGACTCTTCTGAAGCCACGCCAGTGCAATCTCCTGACTGTTTTCTGCAGCCTTTGCCAGGAGAAGGGCAGAGTGCAATGAACCTGTTAGTGAGTGGATGGCCAGTAAGGTGGTCCAGGTTTCTGCTTTGCATCATCGGAGGCCCAGAACACCTATAGGTCAGGGATGCCTCCCCTGGTATGGGAAGGAGCCTCAGGTCTGCTTTGCCTCCTAGATCCAACCCCTATTATATGTCCCAGAAGGCTAGGAGTAGGCAGGCTGAGTAGAAAGCCTTCCCACAACAGCCTAGGAAGCTGCATCCATCTGGGGCACAGGTTCAGACAGAGAGCTGGTGGCTCTGAATGCCACTGATGCATTGGACTACAGGGAGGAAACGAAGGACCTGTATGGCATGGATGGAGGCAATGTGATGGCTGTACTTCTGTCTGCCCATCAGCTTTTCTCTGGGGAAGGCCTAACATATGGGAAGTGACATGTGAGGCCATAGCAGATGGCAGAGGAGCCCTGGGAGCCTGGGGGGGGGGGGCTGTCTCAGGGCAGTGTCTGAAGCCAGCCCAGGCCCATTCAGACTCACTTCTTATTCAGAGGAGGGGCTCCCTAAGCTGAAAACTCCCAGCCCCAACCCTCACGCCTTCCGTGTTGCCGGGTGTTGCCGGGTTCTCTTTATGGTCTGCCTCCACCTAGACTTCCTTGCCAACATGCTACTGTCTCACAGGGCCTAGGACTATGTGTGGACAGAACTATTTATTGTTCCCAGCCTGCACTTTTATGGGGTCACATTCCTTGGTGAGTCTTGTGTGGTTTGGGGGATTAATAACTGGGAGGATTGTAGGCTGTAGAAACTCCTGAATAATTAGTATGCTCCATGCCTGTAAATCCCAGCACTCGGGAGGCAGAGATGGGGGAATTTTTAGTTTGAGGCTGTCCTAGATCACATAATGGGTCAGTCTATCTGTCTCAAACACACACACACACATACACACACATACACCACACACCACACACAGGAGGGGGTAGAGACAGAGAGATACACAGAATGAGTTGTGTGACTATATAAATATAACCAATCCTGTCTACCTCTTTGTCCAGCTACCTAGGTGTTAGGTGACCATAGTTCTAGCTTAAGGCACTCTGGGTTCCTCTGGAAAATTAAGCTCATCTGGGAATGATCTCTTCCCCCCGCCCCCTCCCAGGCTGCAGTGCTGTGGCTGAATCCCTGTGACTCATAACAGAACTAGGAAGGTAGAAACAAACAACCAGGACACCAGGGGATGTTCTGGTCACTATGGAGCTTGATTCACCACTGCTGATTGGCTAAGGAAACACTGTGCATACTTGGGGAACAGGCTATGCTTGGGGTAAGGCTTGGTGGGAGAGTCTGAGCAGGGGTGGGTGAGGTGTTGTGCAAATAAGCCACCAGAAGCATAAATCAATTTACTGCTTATAACATACTCAGCCAATGGTATGGGTTTTAATATGTCACACAGACATATTAAGACAATACTGTTGACTGGCAGAGAAACGTCTGAATCTTGTGAGTCGGGCCCCACAGAAAGATGCTAGCACACTGTGGTAGGAAACACAAGGAGAATTTAATAAACTACAAGCTATAGAGGCATGGGTGTATGCCAAACAGTGTACTTCTAGCTCGTGACAAGACACCCTCTGCATCACTGTCCCAGGGCCTGGGAGGATGAGGCGAGGCTTCAGGCCACCATGGCCACCTGTTTCCACCCCGGGAAGCATTATGCTATACCCACTAGACCCAGACCTCCCCAACGCAACCACAGTGTAACCTGTCCCTAACAGGCCATGTCATGGTGGACCAAGGTAGCAGCCCAGGTTCAGAGACGAGCCCACCCAGACCCTTTGTGGAAATTCTAAAGTACTATGGGTGAAAGCTAACAGCAGCGGGACACGAACCAGCTGACCAGAAGAAGATAAGGAAGGCAAATGAACTTCGGCCTAGCCACTAAGGAAACTGTAATGTTTTGCTGCAGTGTGGGAAGGCTTGGCATGCACCCACAGTGAGAGACCAGGGCAGATCATTGGGCAGGTAGCCCATCAGGCAGTGTACACAGTACAAGCCAACAAACATGGGGAGTTGCACAGAAGGGGTGGGGGAAGGACGGCACAGAAGGAATTTTATCAACTGTTAACCATGTTCACTTCAAAGAGTACGGCTGACTTCAGGGCAGCAGTATTTTTGTTTATATCCTTACCTCCTAGTTTAACAGCAAACATTTAATTCCTTTAAAGAGATTTTTACATACTTTTTTTTTTAAATAAAAGAGCTTGAGCCGAATGTGAGCCCCACATCTGTAACCCTGGCACGGGAGGCAGAGGCAGGAGGATTGCTGCAAGCTCAAAGCCAGTCTAGTATACATAACGACACCCTGTTCTAGAGAGAGGGAGGGAGAGAGAGAGGTAGGGAGGAGAGAAAGGGAGAGAGAGAGAGAGCTAAAAAAAAAAAGCTCATGAATATTGGTATTGAACAGGAAAATATGCCAGTGTTCTCGGATGTTTGGCCGTCACTGAGTTAATGAACAGTCGTGGAAATGTGTGGTATGCCAGGCACTTAGAAAAGGGCACTGACTAACACGGCTGCCTGCAAATGCTTATGCTTAAGAAGCAGGCGTCCCTGGGTATGGTGGTACACATCTATGATCCCAGCCCTTGGGAGATGGAGGGCCAATAAAATCCAAGGTCAGCCTCAGCTACATACAGAGTTGGAGGACAGCATGGAATACAATACAGGAGACTCTGTATTGGGGGGGGGCAGCTAGGAATGCCAGTTGTGCCCACTTCTTATGGCAGCAGTTAGACAGGGATGCACAGGACTGAACCCAGAGCTATAGGAATCTGGAGTGGGTGAGGAGTCGGGTGATCCAAGCAGGGAGCCGTGTCCCTGCTGATGTGCAGATAGGGGTTAGACACGCTAGATTCTGCATGTCCCAAGTCCTTCAGAGAGATGTGGATCATTGCCAACATCCCGAGAGACAGGCAGGCCAGCTGGAGAGACACACGATAGGTCAGCAGGGATGGGCACCGGTGGCAGTATGGAGCAGTATCAGGCTCCGGGGTGTGGAATGAGTTGCCAGAGGGACTCCATGCCATTGTCATCTCTCAGGAAAGTCACAATGATTCATCTTCTGATGGGCCAGAGGTCTCCCTTCTCATCTGCTGACATGTAGGGCAGGACCATGGGGAATCTCAGAGATGGAGGCAGGCCTCTGCCAGAGGGGCCCGTTGTGCTTAACAGTGGAGCTCAAGAGTCCTGAAATTCTGTGGCCGAGGGAAAGCAGATATCTAGGTCTGGTGCCCCAAGACCCAGAACTCCCAGGTGGGATGGCAGGTGAATTTTACTGACAAGTCTTGGTGCTTAGAACATGGAGATGGGGGTTCGGAGGCTTCATCTAGGATCGGCAGGGAAGGGCTCCAGGGTGACTGCAGATATGACTGGGTAAGGGATTTGGGCTAACCCTGAGTGTCCTGAGTTTGCAGTCTTGAAGCCTCTTGAGACCACAGTGACAGTCTGAAGTCCCTGTAGGGAGAAGGCTCACCCCAGTGTGCCCCCACAACCAGCCAGACAGTATGGAGCTCCAGCAGCCAGTGGGGCTATGCCAAAGAGAAATGACTGAGCCCTGGAGATACAGGCTTTCTCCAGCTGGAAGGCATATCTACCGCAGAGCTTTGGCTCCATGCCACCCCACACATATTCAGGGAGTAGATGGCTCTGATGCTGGCCTCAGCTAACAGCAGCCCAGGCCAGGTGGCCTCTTGTTCTCCTGGGTCCTGGGTCCCTCTATTCCTACAAAGACAGGAAAGTAAGATAGCATCATACAGACATTCTATAGCTGACCTTGGGCAAAGACTACTCTACCCTGATAGCTGGGGCCCTGAACTTGGTCCCCTGAGCCTGTCCTCCAAAACCTGGATGACATGGAGTGGGAGAGGCATTGGGGACATTTGGAGTTGTGGCATTCAGGTAAGCTGGAGGCAAGACACATCTGAAGATCAGGAGCCTAAGCCTGGCCCAAGAGGAGGCTGTGTGGAGATCAGGGAGGCTGGGGCTGGTGTGTTGAGTTGGCAGGCGGGATCACGGAAGCTGCAGGCCCGAGAAATGGTAACAGCTAAAAGGTCCCACAAGGACAGCAAGGGTGGCAAACTAAGAATGGTGTGTGTGGACTTCTGGTCCCTCTCCTGCTCCTCAGCCCCACCCAGCCCTCTCTGTACGCACGGATTAGGTCTCCATCTCCATCTCCGACCTGGGACTGGGTGCTGGGTCTCTTCTCTAGGTCCTGAAGCACAGACTGCTCAAATGCTAGGGCAGCAACACGGCTGAAGAATGCCTTCACGTTCTCCCCTGGGGGCCCACGAGACAGTTATGACTCATGGGGCACTCAGGTGCATTATGGGCAAGTGCTTAGGCAAGGCCATGCTTAGGCTAGCCATGAGCCTTCCAGAGCACTAAGTCACCAGCCCATGCGTGGGCAGCAACACAGTGCCAGGTGGTAACCTGGCTTCCCATTGGGTTCTGGTCCCCATTTCTACTCTGCTGCTCCACCCCACCCCCAGCTACTCCCTTAAAGCTCTGAGCCTTCCTTCCCTAGCACCTTCTCTCTCAATCGGTTGCTATTAAACATTTGTACAACCTGGGACAAGCTTGAATGTGCACCTTCTCTTTAGGAGCTATCTGTGTGCTGTTGGCCCTCACACGGGATCTGTATGCACCCTCCTAGAGGTCCCAGTGCCCAACATGAACATTGCTATGTGCAGCAAGAACCTGTGCACCTGTACAGAATAACCCTACCTGCCCAGCGGTGGGATTCCAGCGAACCTGCTCTTACTGTGATCAGGGAGGGTGGGTGCTATGGGGTAGATGGACACTATTGCTGGGAACAAGCAGCAGACAGCTCCATGCATGGGCCCTGCCAAGTGTTTGTGGTGGCCTAGAGGTGGAGCTTCCAGTTTCAATTCGTACCCACTCTGTGGACAGATACACACTGTCTCTGTGCAGCAGAGGCAAGGACTACCAGCCTGATTTCTGAGTTCCCAGATACACGGTATCTCTGTGCAGCAGAGGCAAGGACCTCCAGCCTGATTTCTGAGTTCCCAGATACACGGTATCTCTGTGCAGTGGAGGCAAAGACCTCCAGCCTGATTTCTGAGTTCCCAGATACACACTGTCTCTGTGCAGGAAAGGCAAGGACTACCAGCCCAATTTCTGAGTTCCCAGATACACGCTCTGTGCAGCGGAGGCAAGGACCTCCAGCCCGATTTCTGAGTTCCCAGATACACACGGTCTCTGTGCACTAGAGGCAAGCACTACCAGCCCGATTTCTGAGTTCCCAGATACACGGTATCTCTGTGCAGCGGAGGCAAGGACCTCCAGCCGGATTTCTGAGTTCCCAGATACACAGTATCTCTGTGCAGCGGAGGCAAGCACTACCAGCCCGATTTCTGAGTTCCCAGGACCGTGGAGCTACATGTCCTTTCATTTCATCTCCCCAGAAGCCAGGTTTTCCAACTTTGCTCTTTATACTTCTGCATCCTGCAGTCTTTCGGTACGAAATGCATGTGGAGTGTACTACTCACCGGTTTTGGCTGACACAGACCAGTACTCTGCCTGCATCTCATTGGCCAGGTGCACAGCCTCTGCTTCCACTTGCTCACACGCTGCCCCTGACTGGAAGAAACAGCCCTGGCTGACCCTGTATCTTGGCCCTCGTTTCAGGGAGTCCCTAGAATGGCCACCTTTCTCACCTCCCCCCACCCCCTGCAAGCAGATGGGTGTGGTAGTGGATGTGCAGGGATGCTCCTAGTGCAGGGATGCTGCTCACCTAGGGCTGATACTTTAGTGGTCCCCAGGGTAACCTGAGTCATCCCGCCTCTTTGTGGTAGGGGTCGGGGGGATGGGAGTTTGAGTACTCTCTTCAATTCCATAGCCTGCTTTGAAGTCCAACACAAGGCGCCCTGGCGGTATTGGTTACTGCTCCTCAAAAGTGAGCTGCAAGCACGAGGAGCATTTTCTGGAAAGTCCCTTGGGGTTGGGACTCCAGCTTCACTCTGCTTACCAGGAGATCCTTCTTGGTTCCCACGAGGAAAAGGAAGCAAGAGCCTGCCTCATTCTCCCTCAGTGCATCCTCCAGCCACTGCCTAGAATGGGCAGAGTGGAAACAAGAGACTTATAGGCAGCCAGGAGGTACAGGGAAGGTACCCTGACCTACAGTGACTAAGTGGGACGCTGGTGCTGGAGCCAGAAGGGAAGGTACCCTGACCTACACTGACTAAGTGGGATGCTGGTGCTGGTTCTAGAAGGGAAGGTACCCTGGCCTACACTGACTAAGTGGGATGCTGGTGCTAGGGCCAGAAGGGAAGGTACCCTGGCCTACAGTGACTAAGTGGGATGCTGGGCCAGAAGGGCCTCTGTGGGACCATAAGGAACTGGGAATACAAAGGGACTGGTTTGGGAGAGGTGAAGACTCCTATTGAGAGAACTAGGTGACCTTTGCCCTTTATCAGCTAGAAAAATAATCCCTGTCTCCTTCATAGGGCCTGGAAGATGCAGATGTAAATGGCCCTGGCAAACGCAGAGAGGAGAGGCTTTGGTCCGTTAGGTAGATTATTTCTAGCAGGTGGTGGCCCTCTGAAATTGGTCATTTGCCCACATCTCTGCCCAGTAAAAAATTTCTGTAGGGGAGAAGTAGCTATGAAATTATTAGGGGCCAAGGTAAAGATGAAAAGATGGATCCCTTGTTCAAATCGAAGATTTCCAGCAGGATATCATGGCCTGTCAGCTTGAGCTCCTGAGCAGCAGATGGGATAAGTCTTTAGGGGTGAGTGGGAACCTGGACATGAAGTGCACATCATTCTGGGTTCAGCCCAGAGGCTGGGGTTTGGGGGCCCTTCCAGGCAGTGTCACGAGTCCAGGAGATATTCAGAGATCTACAGATGGGTAGAACCCAGGGTTTACTTGCCTGGTGTGCTCCAGCGTCTGCACGTCAGAGAGGTCAAAGGCTGTGATGATCACTGGACATGGGGAAAGCCAACAGTTAATCAGCGACAGGTGTGATGGGAAGACTCCCCTAGGCATCTTCCCAGATCACAAGAAAACACAGAGGGGGGGGGGGGGGGGGGGG